GAACAAAGTTTTTGACTACCTGCTCGGTTCTGCATAAGTCATTCGAAGGGGTTTTGAGGCTAGTGATAACGAAAATTTAAAAAAAAAAAACAAAAAGCCTGTACATAATAATAATACATTTAGTAAAGGCATAATAATAAGTAATAATAAGTAATAAGTAGTAGCAAGTAGTAATAAGGGGTAATTAAGTAATAAATAATAGTAAATGACAAATAACAATAAATAATAATAAGTATAATAAGTAATAAATTCAGGTTGATGTCTCTGATCATTATGCCTACTGAAAATTGTAATGTTTAGGAAGATTCTGGTGCCTTGAAACATGCGATTTTTTATTGGATTGGTGAAAATTCGACGCTCGATAAGGGAATGTGTGCTGCTGTTCATGCTGTTAATCTGAGAAATCATCTTGGCGCGACATGCAGGTACTCTTCGCCTCTTGAAGTAAAGGTATTTCCTGAAAAAAGAAAATTTCTAGCATTAAAAGTTGTGGTTTTTTTCTTTCTTTTCCCGATAGTAGAAGAAATGGCACTCATTTACCTGGCTAAATACCTTTGTGGCTATTCTTCACTCACCTATATGGCTCTTATTCTCCTTCCGTTTCCCCCTGTTTCGTTTTGGGCCTTTGTTTTTCTCTCTGCGCTCGTTCGCCCCTGTATTCTTTATGTTTGTGTTCATTTTTTTTCTCGAGGTATATGTGAAGACGTAAATGCGCAGTAACGAGTAGTGTTTATATTTGTGTGTGTGTATGTGAGTGTGTGCGCGTGTGTGTGTGAGTGTGTGTGTGAGTGTGTGTATGTGTGTGTGAGTGTGTGTGTGTGAGTGTGTGTGTATGTGTGTGTGCTTGGGTGTGTGTGTGCATTCTGGTTTTTCGATCTCATGGCTAGATATAAGCAGACAGATTGAATTCCTGGAATCATGGTCCTCTGGACCATCTATGAACCACCGAAGCATAAAATCATCTTTGATGTTCTGCAGATACTTGTGGTTTTTCATTCACAGTACCTTATATAGCTATGCATTTTTAAAACTCGAATCGAATATTTTTATGATAAATTGTGTGGCACATGTAACGTCTTCGGATTCCCCCCCCCCTCCACCCGCCCCCGCCCGCGGCCCCTCTCCTTGATTTGCCCCTTTTACATTTATAGGTAGTTTTTAACTTTTTTGTTTTTTTTTAGAATAAATTCAGTGCTTTTAATGAAAAAATATGTAGGACAGAACGTGAAGAAATGAACGATGAATCTGATGATTTTCTGGAATTGTTTGGTGAGGAAATTACGTATATCGAAGGAGCGCGAACGTCATCCGGCTTCTATACAGTGGAAAAACCGGCACATGTTACGCGGTCTGTATTTTTTAAATTTTTTTTACGCGTTTGAGTAAAAACAGTAGGAAAAATACGGACATCGCTTGGCATGCTTCAGATGATACTTTCCTCTGTGAGAGAAGATTGATACCAGTTTTGACTCCTTGGCATGCAGGAATAATTTTTTGGTTTTCGAAAAAAAAAAACGAATAGAGGGATTGGTCCTCTTTGCTGGCTAATCGGTCCCTTAAGTCATGGTATTAGGGTAAAGTTACTTGTTACTACACGAGCTTCATCGATAGGCGGATCTAATGGCAGGGGAAGGGGGAGGGGCGAAGGGGGGAGGGGGAAGAGCAGTGGG